TCTGTCGATTTTATGAAAGAAAGGAATGTCACAAAAAGTGTCTTGAAACTGAAGTCAACTGCTTGACATTTAAGAGGCTGGAATCCTGTAGTTTGATTTGAACCCTAGGCAGAGCTATGCTTTGTGCTCCCGGCCTTAGGCCATAGACTCTTATGCAAAGCAGGCGCCGGCCGGCCTGTTAGTGGCCGCTCAGGCCAGAAGCTAGAAGAAAACCAGCACCAGCACCCCCAGAGCTAGCCTTCTGCTTTGGTCTTTCTTTGTTGTCGTCTCTCTCTCTCTCTCTCTCTCTCTCTCTCTCTCTCTCTCACTCTCTCTCTGCTCCTGGGATTCTTAAATATAGACCATTTGTTTATTATGTTTAGGAAAACATAATAAACTTAAAAGAAAAAGAATAAAGAAGCCAGGTGTTGATGGCACACTCCTTTAATCCCAGCAACTGGAAGGCAGAGACAGGTGGATCTATGTGATTTCGAGGCCAGCCTGGTCCACAAAGCTACAAGAGAAACCCTATCTCAAAAAAATTAGAGAGAGAGAGAGAGAGAGAGAGAGAGAGAGAGAGAGAGAGGAGGGAAGAATGCTGTGTCACTTCCAAGTGTCTGACAAATCATACATACTGCTCTGAACATTCTAGCACTTCAAATAGATAGTAGTTTTGTGCAACATACAAGTTTGTGATTCCAGAAAGTATTCTTCCTTTCCCATATCCCCTCCCCATCCCAAGCCCCCTCCTACTGTGGCTGCTGCTAGCCTCGCTCTGGAGCCCAGGCTGTCCATAAACTCCCAGCAGTTCTCCTGCCTCAGACTCCAAAGTGCTGTGATTACTGCCATCCTTGGCTCCAGAGAGCATTTCTAAGGCTAAGTATTATATTTCTTTTCTGAAGGATTTTGTTTTTAATCTGTAAAGCTTATAAGACCCCTTACCTCACCAAAGTTAGGACCAGAATCTAGATAGCTGATTAGTAAATTCCTAGGTACATTATGTAAGGGAAAGACTCTCCAAATTACTGACCCAGTCTCAAATATCTGAAAATGAGCATATCCCAGAAGGGAGGGGAAGCAATGCCCTGAGGTCCTTGGTGAAGAAGGCCTGAGAAATGAGGATGAAAATGGTGGCATCTCATCTTTCCAACTCTCATCTCCTCTTCTGCCTTCCAGAGGGAATTCCAAGCAATCACCATGCAAATCCAGCAAAAGGGTTCTGAGGTCACTCAGCTGCTAAGTTGACACAAGCATGTACCTACTTGTGTTTTGAGGCTCACACCTTTAATCTTAGCACTCAGGAGGCAGAGGCAGGTGAATCTCTGAGTACAGTCTAGCCTGGTCTACAAAATTGAGCTCCATGACAGCCAGGACTACACAGAGAAACTGCCTTTAAAAAAGAAAATAGAAAGAAAAGAAGAGAGAGAGAGAGAGAGAGAGAGAGAGAGAACATCATACAAGGACACGGTCCATCTCTCATCTTCAGCCAGCATTGTAGGCCTGCAGGTAACTTTCTGTTACATATGGACATTGATTTAGCATGGATGAACATCTATGAGAAATTTTACCAATTAGCTCCAGCTATACTTTTTAGCCAAAACCCAGTTTTATGCTAAAAAGTTAGACTCTGCTAAACTCACACATGCTATTAATATTAGTGTTTTAAGATTTTAAAATCTTCTCTAGCCCTTTTAAGAAGGGCTAGAGAAATGGCTTAGCAGTTAAGAGCACCTAGTACTCTTCCAGAGGACTAGAGTTGTACTTTCAATACCCACACCAGGTGGATCATAGCAAGCTTGATCTCCAGAGTATTGTATCGAATGACCTCTTCTGATTGTCTCAGATGTCTGCATTCCTGTGCACATATCCACACACAAATTAAACAATAATAAAAGCACATCTTCAAAGTTACTAAAAAGAATTCTAATAACCTGAAAATAGGAAAGTAGGGTATAGGGCACCAAGTGTTAGAATTATGACTGAGAGGCCCTTGATACATTTATCACCTGATGGCAAGTGTGTTAAGTGTGACAAGAGATTTAGGACTGTTACTAGTGTTCAATATTCTACATAATTTTGAAAAAGTCCAATTTAATACTGGTGGATAGAAACAGTCTACAAAATATCTATTATAATCCTACCTATATACCTTTAATTCCATGTATCTCAGAAACATTTCCAATTTTTCTAAAGATTTATTTTATTTTTATTTATCTGTATATGTTTGTGAGGGAGTGCTATGCCTGCCTGAGTGCAGTGCCCAAGGAGGCCAGAAGAGGGCATAAGTTACTCCCAGGAGCTGGAGTTACTGGTAGTTCTGAGTCTTGAGGAATAATTTCTGTGAAGAGAACACTTGTCCTTGGCAAAGCAGCAAGCTACCGTTCCACCTCTCAATTCCCACTCCCAGCTTCTTACTCTGTGGCATTGTTGCATTCCTTCTCTTTTTTTTTTTTTCACAGCTGCATCCCACCTTAGGCCTAGTTCCCTCATCTTCAAAGTTTACCTTTACCTTTCAATTTTTTTATTTTTTTATTTTATTTTATTTTATTTTTTGGTTTTTTTGAGACAGGGTTTCTCTGTGTAGCTTTGGAGCCTATCGTGGCACTCGCTCTGGAGACCAGGCTGGCCTCGAACTCACAGAGATCTGCCTGCCTCTGCCTCCTGAGTGCTGTGATTAAAGGCGTGTGCCACCAATGCCCAGCTCCCTTTCAATTATTTTACATGCTACTATCAGAGGAAATTTAAGAGATTAGAGTACACCCTCCACCACCACCACACATACCTGGGGGTCTTTTTTATGAATGCCCCCCTTTTTTATAAAGAAATAATTCTAAGCTGGGTGGTGGCTCACACCTTTAATCTTAGCATTCAGGAGGCAGAGGCAGGTGAATCTCTGAGTACAGTCTAGCCTGGTCTACAAAATTGAGCTCCATGACAGCCAGGACTACACAGAGAAACTGCCTTTAAAAAAAAGAAAGTAGAAAGAAAAGAAACTTCAACAAGTCTTCTGTGATTTTCTCAGGTTCTCTGCAACTACTGGGAAGTGGATACCATTTCTGATTCTAACATGTGACCGATTTCTCACACTGTCTTAGCCCTTCCCTAACCTATATTTTTATCAGCTGAAATCCTACTGATCTCCCAAACTAAAGTTCTAATGACATGGGGAAAAAAAAAAAAGATACAGGGTTTCTCTGTAGCTTTGGAGGTTGTCCTGGAACTCTCTCTCTCTCTCTCTCTCTGTAGACCAGGCTGGCCTTGAACTCACAGAGATCCATCTACCTCTGCCTCCCAAGTGCTGGGATTAAAGGTAGGGACTACCAACGCCTGGTGACATGGGTAAATCTTAAATCCATGTTAAGTCAAGAGCACCCAAAGCGCTTCGGCCATACTTCTAAAACAGCATTAACCATTCACTGCTTCATGTTTTAGTTATGAAGGGAATAGGTCTTAACTCCTCTAATCTTTCCATGATGTCTGTGCCTTACAACCCTTTCCATATAGAATCAGCCTGGTCATTGTCACACTGAATGTTTGAATATATGTAGTAAAAGAGATGGACACTGCCATCTTTCATCAAGATATTGATGGAAAACTAGCTTGTCTTTTTTGTAAATAATGTAAGACCAACCTGAAAGCCTTATTCATGCTAAGCAAAGAAAATCAAGTGTTGTTTGTTTAGATAATTTATTATAAATTTACTACTTTTTTCTCAAAGAACACTTACCTTTTGTGTTTACCTTTTGTCCTAGCAATTATTCTGGATCAACAACTCAAATAATTAAGAACCTTCCAAGAGGTAGACAGTTGCTCAAATACCACTTATTACTAATACAGTGCCATGGGGAGTCAGAAAGGTTCAAACAGAATGCGTTGAAACCACAGAGAGCCATTTATCTTTGAAAAATGATGTTGGAATGAAATGTGGACTACTCTAGCTTCTCTATGCCTTGTAAGAGAAGTAACTATTGGCCAGGCAGTGATGAGGGAAAGACCATTAAAGCCATGTAGGTGATACATTGTTTAGTATAATCCAAAGTCATCCCCCAGTTAAACTACAACAAAATGGGAATAAGAATTGTGTTGATCAAGGCAGAGGAAAAGAACAAGTATGACACAGAGGGGTGTACCTCATGTCAAATAGTTTTGTGGACATGTTTTTTTAAGCTTACTTATACTTACTTGATTTCCATGTTCTCTCTTCTAGACCATTTTTTAACTAAGGTTTTAGGAATTCTTTTCACAACCTCAGACTATAAGGAGGAGCCAAGTACGTGACGACAACTTCAATATTCAATAGAATAATTATGGGACAAGATAGATATGCAAATCAGAATTAACAAACTGTTAGAAACTTTTACACACACTGGCCTGCTGGTTCCTTGCAGCCCTAAGGATTGAGCCACAGTTCAAACCCCAGTCTCTAAACCAACCTACTCTTTCATAGTTGAGAAAATAAAGATCCAAAGAACTTGAAGTATCTTGTACAAAGTTCATCATAGGAGCTAGTGGCAGAATAGTAAATGGAAGTGCCTTAACTGTCATTCTCTGTTCTTTCAAGATAAAATTAATTCTATTTGCATAGCAAAATGAGCATGCGGTCCAAGGGTCTCCCAAGGTGACATTTAGAATAGAGACTGTTTCTTTTTTATGATAAGAAAAGACTTTATTAGAATTCAGTAATTTATTGTTAAATATTTCAGAATCAATGCTAAGTGTTTTATTCAATTGTAACTTTCATTCATTTTGATATTGAATTACCAGAGTTGACAGGTCTTAGATCCTCTAAGTTCTGACAAGGGGGAGTGCGCCAAAGACTTTGTCAGTGCTAGCTAGCATCAGCTGACCAGACAGATGGCCTGTACAGACAGAAGTCTGGGGGAGAGTCTCTCCCATTTTAAAAAGAATCACTTAGATTCTGTGCTTGCCTATAAGCACAGCTCTTGGGAGAGGAGGCGGGGGGGGGGGGGGTTTAAGAGCCTAGGCTACATGGCCGGAATCAGTCTCACAAGAAAAATGAAGAACAGCTATGGGTGCATCTCAGGAATGGAGCACTTGCCTAGTGTGCACAAGACCCTGGGTTCAATCCATAACACAGACAAAAAAAAACAATAAAATAATCAGATGACAAAAAAATGAAAATGAATTTCTTCTCACCTAAAGTCCTATGAGGAAGACAATACTTAGATTCCTTGATCAACACAGATACTGTGTTTAACTTAGATGTTAAGCAATTTAAACACACACACAGAGAGAGAGAGAGAGAGAGAGAGAGAGAGAGAGAGCACTTATTTGAAAATTACCAAATGTATAGGTATTACAAATTACCCTTGTCAAGGAAGTTTGGGCCTATGGCTTAATGAAAATGAAGGTGGATATCCAGGGCTGTTACACAGAGAAACTCAGTCAGACATTAAAGGGGGTAGGAATGTGCCTGGATGGCAGAGTGCTTGCTTAGTATGTGAGATGTCCAAAGTTCAGTCCCCAGCACTGTGTGAGGCAGCTATGGTGGGGCTAGCCTAGAATCCTAACACTTGAGGCATAGAGACGTGAAGAGCAGTTGTTCAAGAACATCCTTGGATACATAGTGACATTTTGAAACCTAATTAATAAGTTTTTCACTCTTTAGTTAATTTCTATTTTGGGATGTACATGTATGTACATACTGTATTATGTGATCTGCGTATGTGGGTATGCAGGCAAGCAATACAGAGGCCAGAGGGAAAACACCAAACAAGGACACAAGGTGTCTTTCTTCCTCTATTGCCCTCTGCTTTATGTCTTTAATAGACTCTCAATGAAAACACAAGGTCACCATTTTGGCTAGGCTAGCTGGCCAGAAAGCTTCCTGAGATTTGAGATCCGTGTATCTCTGTCTCCCAGTGCTGAGGTTACAGGCACACATAGCCATACCTAACTTTTTACATGGTACTAGGATTTGAACTCAGGTCCTCATGGTTACATACAAGCACTGTTACCCACTGAATCACCTCCTTAGCCACAAGAAAATTCATTTGAGTCCAGTGTAGGTATATATGAAACCTTGCCCGGTCACAAAAAAAAATCATTCATTAAAAATTAAGTTATTGTTTGTATTGTTTTCTTATGGCTGTCCTTGATTATGGTTAACACATGGGTCACGTTAGCTTCTTTGTCTACATGGCAGTGAACTGGAGAAATGCTGACATCTCTTTCTCATGAGTCATGTCTCAGCTGAATTGTAGATCCTGAATTTGAATGTCTGCCTTAAAGGATGGCCCAGCAAAAAGATATAGAAGAATTTTCTAAACTGACCACATTCTTCAGCTTCTTCCAAATTGGTACCATGTGCACCCTGATTTTCATGCTGTGGCACCCACTTCAGCCATCATCCAAGAACCGGAGATGGGATATGAGAAAGAGATTTGCTGAGCAGCATCTTAGAGAAATGCTTCATAACTTACAGATCACCCAAAGTAAGCTTCTAAGAGAAGCTGCTTAACTTAGAAGTGTCCCTATGTTAACACAAGCCCTAAGATGGCTTAGGTTTGTAAGTCCTACTGTCTCAAATATGACTCCAACCACAGGCTACGTGTTCCCTACAGCCACAGTCGGGGTCCTACAAGTGAAGAGTCACTGCTGAACAAAACAAAAACACTTCCAATAGAACTGCTGGGTTGCCAACATTTTGCAACTTCAATTATTTTACTGTATGATTTCTCATTGTTAGCGAATGTTCTTGCTTTGTTATCAAGAGATTCTTACAAACTCTTCACAAAGCTATTTTTCCCCTCTGTGCCCTTCTAAGCATTAGAGCATTCTCTAAGATCCCGTGCTCTCTGGTGGGAGCTCCCACGAACTGATTTAAGGCTGTCATTCTCCAAAGTTATGTATGCTACGTGCTAACCTCTGCTTTAGGAATCAACTGTGTGAATGGTTGTATGTTTAATACTTTTTAGCAGGGCAAATAAAGACTGTCCGGGCAGAGGTCTGAAACTCACTGTCTGCACAAGGAAACTCTTTCTTGAGCAGGAAGTACAATGTCCAACCACTCTCTACCTGGCTCAGTTCCAAGCACATGATGAACTGCAAAAATATAACATGCAGAGGGAATATTTATGTGTCAACCCTCTTCATCAGATCCACAGTATTTTTTCTCCCATGTCACAAACACTGTAACCACAATTTACAAGTACATACACAAACTTCTATTGATTTAATGATGCATTCCTTTGGTGTCCCTTGCCTTAACCTCATTTATAAAGCTGTTTTGCATTGTTTCAAACTGTCAATGATTTGTGACTCATGAATATTCAAATCCAATTTGCACTTAGCTTTTTGGTATGCATGGTTCCTTTCAATGTGTCCCTACACGTGCCCTTTTGTTTTGTATTTATTTGTAGATTGTTTTATTGAAATAATACAATTTTTAAAGCATAGTAAGTCTACCTAAAAACAACAGGAGTGGTTGATGAGTGACTCTTCTTGGTCCCAGCTTACTGTTTCTACATTGCCACTTAGAAAGTTCATTCTTTCCAACAACCTGTCCTTGGTTTTAAAAGCAGCACACACTTGTTGGTTGATGTCTATTTCAGGGGGAGAGGCTTCAATTTTGCTGGGCTATGCATCTCTAAGAAAGAGTCCAAGAATTTGTAGATGAGCCTGAGCCTTACACAAAAGAAAGAAAGGATTATTTCTGGTGAAAAAGCAAAAAGTTCCAGCAAAATGGAGCTCTTCATGTCAGTGTGGATGAACTTTTCCATTTACATTGTGGAATGCATGAAAAGCGACCTAAGAGGACTACAAAAACCTTTGAAAAGCTTCAGACAGCGATAGCTGGAGGAGACACCCAGGACTTTGTGGATTGTGGGCTTGTCAGTGATGATTGAAGCTCCTCAACTGCAGCACAGGGAGCCACCTGCCTAAAGAACAAGCAGCTTCTTCTTGCAAAACCTGTTTGAGGACAAATTGAAAGCCTTGTATGAAAAAAATAATTGGAGTAGAGAAGATCTCTTTTGTAAGTGATTTCTGGACACAACTGAGATTTCTAAGAAAATCTAAGGAACTAAATATGCTGCACTGCCAAGATATATATATATATATATATATATATATATATATATATATATATA